ACAAGCTTAGACAAAAACATATAAAACTGTTTCATCCTAGACACTGTTCAAGTGTGGACATTTAGAAATGCCAGTGTCACATTCACTTCATGTGACAGATGATCAGGGGCTGGGAGAACAGCAAAGAATTTGGAATAACTGCTCCATCCCTTGTATGCTGATAGTTGTACACAGATCTGATTAAGGATGTGTTAGAATGACCAAAAATACATTTTTCTGCAACAGATGCACCACATGTGAGTGTGGCAATTGCAACTAGAAATTGGTATCAAAGTGGAACAGTGGCAGTGAGTGTTCTAGACTGGCTGAACTCTCAGGGGTCTCTTCATGTTTGCCCTGACTGGCAAAGGTACCTCCTGTTTCAGCAGCACTGATGATGGAAAAGCACCTGCTCCTTTCCCTGGTAGCAAATTGCTGACCTGGCAGCATGGTACTGAACTGATCCACTGCTTTTCCAAACTCACTGCTCAAAGAGAGTGCTGCTGGCAAGTTTGGCAGCTGTTTGAGTGCATCAGTAACCCCAGGCAGAGCAGAAATGACCTTAATAACTGTGCAGCTTTGTTTGTTCCTGTTTGTTGGTTTTTTGAAGTAGCATCTGTCATCTGCAGGTGGGAAAGGAAGTTACTACTGCCAGATATCTGCAGTGCCTCATTGACAGAGGTTGTGCAACCTGCCCTGGGATGCTGGTCCTCTCAGCTCTCTCAGCAGCAAGAAGAGGAGCTTGAAGGTGCAATTACAGCTCAGACTCTTCCTTTGAGTTATCCTCTGCAGGGTCTGGCTTTTCTCTGAGTGTCTGGGGAGTACAGGCTGTACTGATGCCTAAAGCTGTCTGCTCTGAACTACATGATCTCTACCTGAGCAAAGTTATCCCTGCTTTAAAGATCAGGCAGGCAGAAGTTGTATGGTGAAGGCAGACTCAGAATTCATGCTTTGTGACTCCCAGCCCAGTGTCCTGAACATGCTGAGGTGGGTTCTCTCTGCTACAGAGGGTTTTTTTAAATGTGCTTCTAATTAAAAACCCACAGCAGCCTCTCCCAGACACAGCACCAGTTGTTATGTCCAGCCCTGTGCAGTGTCCAGGTGTGCCTCTGTGAGCAGCACCAGGATCCTCCTGTCCCCAGCACACTGAAGTAAGATTAACAATGTGTGTTTAATTGCGTGCTCCTGGCAGCTGCCCTGAGCCATCCACCCCTGCAGCAGGACTGCTCCACTAAACACTGCAATTACCTCGTGCTGCAAAGGTCCCTCTGCTGCCTGGTGCCTCCATATCACCATTGCAGCACTCTGCTCTCCAGTGCTCCAAATTAGGCTTGTCAGGGGGATTACAGGGAACCTGCTTTCAGGGATTTATATTATTTAAATTATAACTATCCCGCAAGAATAGGATTTGTAATGGAAGTTGGAGTTTTTAATATGTTTATACAGATAACACAATTTCAAATAATTAGTTTGTGAAGAGCGAGGTAACAAAAATTTAGGAGAATTAACATGTTTTATTTCTTAGTGCTGCAGCTCAAAGGGTGAACTTGTCTCTGCCAGTCTGTAGGAACTGGGATGGTTCATATTGGGTAGCAGGGTGACAGCTGAGTGCCTGCTCTGGCTGCACAGGCCATGCTGTTTGTTTTCAGCAGGTCAGGATTTTTAGAAGCCCAAATAGTTGGAGAAAGCAGAATCTCCTACAGTGACTCCATCTGGTGACACTCCTCTCTGGGGTTAGGTGGTCTGAGCTATGGACTGAAAGTGGTGAAAGGGGAAAACCTTGCTTAAAACCTTTCCTGTGAAGTAATTAAAGACTACCAAGCTAATCACAGTTCTTGAGAGCCCAGCAGGAAATCTTGGTGTCGTTATACCTGTTCTGGGACCTCCCTAGGTGCTACAGGGAGTGCACCCCTGGGCTGCTCCTGTCCCAGGTGATCTGTAGCTCTTACCCTCTCATTTTGCTCACCTTCACATCCCTCTGATCTCTTCCGTAGCATTGCAATGCTTTTTTGACTTCAATGTCTTTTCTTGGCTAAAAGTCTGTTAATATTTAACTTGTATGAAGGCAGTGCCCTCAAATACCATCAAATTAAGGGAAAACTCCCACAATATCCAGGATTTTTATCCCCCTTCAGTGCAGGGAGTGAGCTAAATGGTTGTTTGTCCCCTGATTCCCTCCAGTTCTCTAATTCTAAATAAACTTTGAAAGCAGTGGCAGACATACATTGCAGCTAGCACTGAGTGGGGAAACAGTGGAGTTGTTTGAGGATATAATCATAAAAAGGACAGAAAATAAGAAGAACGTGGTATAGCTGTAGCAGTCAGAAAGATGACAGATATTAGGGATTTGAAACTTTCAGGACATATTATTTGATAATATCCCTTCCCATTTCAGACTTAATCCTGTTCAGTGCTGGGGTGCAGTGCTGTGTAAGTGAAAGGCAGGGAATCCTACTGTGCATTAGTAAGACTTTTGTGTGGGGACCAAATTCCTCTTCACAAGCCCCAGCTTCCAGGGCTTTCCTAATGCCCTGTAATCATCTCCTCTCTGCCTTGCTCTTAGTGGTGAAAACACTGAGAAAATGAGAGAATAGGAGAACTGGCTGTGGGTGTGTGGGCCTGGGTGCATGTAAAGCACCTGAAGCATCAAGAGGCTTCCTCCTGAGATCCTGGAGCTCTGGGGCACCACTGCTGGTTCACCTCTTTGTATGCAGGAGATTGTGGCTCATCATGAGATTATGGTACTGCCATGTGAGGGCAGATGTATAAAATAGAGATCTGATTGTACAGCAGTGAATCGTGTTCATACTATCAGTTTCTGGGCTGTTAATTACGGTGAAGGGTTTCATGGCAGCAGCTAAAGTAAAATCCATTATGATGTTGATCAGCATGGAAGTAATTATATCCTTCTGATTTGGTCTGCAGTGAAAAAAGGGCTCAGTGAGGATTGTGATTCTTCTTCCCTCTGAAATAAGAATATTGCAAAATAATTAAAACTATTATCATCAAACCCTTAATGGAGGAAAATCAAGCAAGAGACAAAGACCACTGGGTGGGTCAGTTTGTAGGGCATTGAAATCAATACCCAATTATCAGACAGTGCTTTAAAAACACTGGTAAAAAAACCTCAGAAGCAGTGACCTTAATGTGCAGTTAATTTACTCTTATTAATTTTAGTAATATTTCTTCTGAATGGGCACTGAAACTCAGTTGAGGGCATTTATTTCAGGCATGGTTATGGGCTTTGTGAGTGTGCAGGGAAGGAAAAACCATTTAGGTTATGCTGCAAGGCATGACAGGCCTTGGTGCAGAGTTTTTCTGTCTTGCTCATTGATAGACTGGACTTAATGCATTGGACAGATATTGCAATGTGGAGCAGGAGGTCCCCAAGATGATACAACCAGAGACAAGTCAAGCCCTGTTTTGAGGAAAAAACAGAGCAAGTGTGGATATGCAGTGCTTCTTTCAATATATTCTGCTCCTGGTGTGCATTCTTCCAGGAATGGCATCCAAAATGACTTAAAAGACCTTGCTATGCTTCAAAAAGAAGTGGAAAACCAAGGAAGGCATGACATGTCCCAGTGAGGAGCATCAGACAGGGGTTGTCATAGCAGGGCTGCCTGCAGGGCAGGGAGGAGTGGAGTGGTCAGAGGTCAGCAGGGTCTGGAACATCATCCACAGCTCCGTGGTGGGGAAAATGGCTTCGTGTCTCCTTCTAGCAGCATCTGTGGGATTGACCCACAAAGAGAGAGAGGTGCTGAAATCACAGCACTGGTGGCAGTCTGGGGTGGGATCCGTGGCAGCTGGTTTTGTCTCCTGGAATGCTGTGATGAATCTGTGAAACTCGTGCTCTGGGGGTGCCCAAGGATACCCCTGTCCAGCAGGTTTCCTGTAGATACCCCAAAATGTGTCACACCGCTTTGAGGTGAAGATATGGCCACAAATGCTCTTGTTTGCCAGCATTTCTAGGAATCTGAAGTCACTGCTTCATTCTTCCCAGCCCAGGAGTATCTGGGATTCTTCACAGGTTTTATGCATCAAATGAATGGAGTGAAGTGAAGGTCTAATGTGGGATTTGTGGGAGATGCTAAGAAACAAAGGGAGGAAGGAATAATAGTAACACAAAATAGGAAAACAGAATCTGTTCCATATGCCAAAGCAGCAAGGAAAGAGCACAAACACTGCTGCCTGTGGGCACTGAGCAGAGGCTGCTGTGAGAGCCACCCTGAGGGGGGTGACACATCTGTGTCACAGCCCCTCACCCTGTGCTTTGTGCTCTCGACACAAATGCTCATTTTGTTCCTTTTTTTGGGTTTCTCCTAGTGCTGCTTCCTGAATTTCCAGGGAAAAACTGTACAGTGATTGCTCCCCTATTATCACTGCTTTAAAATTATACCCAGGTAGCTGTCAGCTCTAAGTGGTATCTGAAATCAGGGTGGGCTGAGGAGCTGGGTACCAGTCAGGATCAGTACTGACATGCCAGATCCTGAGCTGCTGTGGGGTGGAACAGCTGCCCTCAGATCAGAAATCTTCTGTTTCCTTGGGTTGTGACAGGAGTAGATATTTTGTATTGGTCAAATTTAGAAGCTGTGCAAATTACTTTTTTTTTGTAATTAATTATTTATGAATAAACACTTTAATTTTTTTGCACACTTTTACTTGCTCCAAAATTCCTTTTAGTGCTCAAATGAGTAATTTTTTTACAGGCCTTCAATGGTGTTTAATTAAAAAGACAAGGTTTGGAGCTTGAACTTGCTGATTAAATTAAATGTTGCTGTTTTAAACAGGTGTCATAGTCAGAAAAAAAAACGCCCAAAAATCATTAACCACTGAAATAAAGCTTATGTAAAAATACTTGGATAAAAAAATGATGATTGGGGTCCTGTCTAATTTTAATGCCAGGAACATCTTTTCAAAGCAATCATGTTTTCCCAAGACATTGCCAATGAGGAAGGATTAGTACTACAAAATATTACATCTTGTTTAGATTTCCATAGAGGCAAAATGCTTGTTTGCTGTAAGAGCTGCTCATCTTTTATTGCTAGCAGTGACACTAAATCACAGCTGTCAGACTGAAAAGAAGCTCCCAGTTCTGACTTCTTGTCTTGCCTCCTTTCTTCCAAACCACGGCTCCAAACCTGCTGGGGACAGGGACAAGATTAGAAGGGCACTGCAGCTCTTCTGCCAGTAAGGAGTGGTGTTTGCAGCCCAGTTTTGGAGTAAAAGCATGCAGACAAACCCACGGCAGTGCTCCATGCTCGAGGGAAAGCTCTTTAGCTTGCTTGCAGCCAGAGTGAGGGGCCAGAGCTGTGAGCCTGATGGGGCTGCTACCCCTCCCCTGGCAGCAAGCTGTGGGAGCACAAACCAGCAAGGAGCCTTGCCAGCTTTTCACTGCCATTCCGTTAAAATTCAAGCAATTTCACTGTTTTCAGCTCAGTTCAGGAGGAAGTCCCCCGGGCTGAGCGCTCGCGACTTCACCTGGCAGCGCTGCTGAGGGGGGGCAGATCAGTAATTCTGTGACATGCTAGTGAATCAATTGAACCCTTGCAACATCTAATTAATTTGCAGTTGTTCCGAAGAATCTACAAATGATCATTATTGGTAATGAAGCTATTGATCCAGAGTGTACAAACTAGGCAAAAAACCACCAAAAGTAAGATGTGAAGGCTCCATGTCAGAGCCTCCAACAGCCACCACCAGCCCTTTAATGACCTCAGTGGGGCTTTGTTGAGTAACATCAGCTGAGAACATGGCACATAAAATTTAATGTTCCTTGAACTGTTTTAGGATTCAGTCATAATGTAGCTTATGTACACACCTACGCTGAAATTTTCAAAGCTACCCAGGGGAACTAAATGCTAATTGTAATGGAAATGGGCACTCAAAGCCCTTAAATGGCCTTCCAGATCTCACTGTGCAGTCATTCCTTGCACAGATCCACTGCCCAGCTCCTCACTGCTTTTTATGTGTCTGTGGGCTTTGCTTTCAACCAGAAATCAGCACCTTTTTCCTTCTTGTTTTAAAGAGTCTGAATTGTAATTCTCGTGATACAAATTTTGGTTGCTTTGCTGGCAAACCTGTGGATTTGTATGAAAGGGCAGTGTAATATAAATTTTCCAGTTTTCAGTTTTAATGTGACTTTATAATTTAAAAGATAATTCAGGAGAGACACTTTGGGAAATTCATTGCTGTTTGTGGTCCCACTGCTGTTCCTTTTTGACTGTTCAGAACACAACCACCATATGAGAAAGAGGGTGATATAATTAAGTTGTTGCCATGAATTAATCTGTAGCACAATTCCATTAAAATGAATGGAATTATATCAGGATTAGTTTTGGTCCACTTTAACATTTTTAGACACTGGGAAAAACATTATTCTTGTCATGAGGTAAAACAAGTCTGATACTGTGTTCTTTGAATTTGTGCTTCATCCTTTATTAATGTTAGAGGGTAATGATGTGCTGTATTACTTTTCTAGCAGCTAAAATATTATGCTGTTTTAAGAGATTTTATTCAGTCCTTCAGGGACATTTGCTGCTGCCTGCAGCAAAATTGGATGAGATGTGCATATATAAGTGTGTGCTTGCATATGTGTATACACACATATGTAGTTGTGTGTGAACACACAAAACTCCAGGAAAGCTCTGCATATGGAGGGTTTTTTAATTGCTTTGAAGGTAGATAGAAACTTTGATGGTTTTCAATCTGGTTCTATTTATTAAATAAGTCTTACAATTAAGAGCAAAATAGTATCTAAACAAGTTAAATCTTAATATTCATCAAGAAGGATGAATTCCTAATGTTTAGGTACTTAGCTGTGCTGCTACTTTTTTGGATCTTGAGAGAATTTTTATTAAAATGCAAATAGTGTAGTTTCAACACCGTTCCCTGATTAAATGGAAAAAGCATCACTTAGTACTCATTGAAGTCAAATGTAATCAAGATGGGATTGATTTTATATTCTGTTCGTGTAAACACTGCTTATTCTAGCTCTTAAAAATCCATAAAATAACCAAAAATGCCAGGTTTATTTTTCAAATTGATACAAGGTAAAGAGAGAACTGCTTATATGCATTATGCATTTATAATGGAAATGATGCTAGCCTAAGGTAAGAGCAAGTGTGATACTCCTCCACTACTATAAACTTATATTGAAACTATGGTTATGTGATGAAATTTTCACAGCCTGAGTAGAGTTGAGACTTTTCAGCATATTTACAGCTTGAATTGAGTTCTCCATCTACATGTTCCTTACCTGGGATTAGCTCTTACTGGAGAGGTCCAGCTATCTTGAATTACCTTGCAGATATTGAGTGCTGGGGACACAAACATAAATTGCAGCTTGAGCATCACCTGTTGGCTTAGGTTTTTGTTCTATTCCCAGTTATGACTTGCAAATAACAGTATGGACCCAGAAAATACCTGGCTGCAGCTGTAACTGTGGCTGAGCTGTCACACTCTTGGGTTTTAGGGGGCACTGGAGCTCTGTGAGGAAACAAAGCCATGGGACAGGTGCAGTTAAATGTAGAGGGTTTTAGGCTCAGTTGAAGGAGTTTGCAGCTGTGCCCAGGGAGAAGTGCAGCTCTAGGCTGGTCAGCCTCTGAAGGTGTGCAGCTGTGCAGGGACAATTGTCCCTGCAAACACCATGGGGAGGCAAAGAGGAGCTGCCTTATAAATGATGGGCTCTGGGCACCCTTCAAAACCTCCCCCATGAGACACCTGAACTGCCCTGCTGTCTGCCTCCAGTGCAGCACCCACTGCCCAGGGAATTGGGGTGTGTAATTATGGGGACTTGCTCTCTCACATAGCCTCTCAATGGCATGGGAAGATAAATCCTAGTTGATTTTTCTGTCTGAGAAAGTTTTTGGTGGTTTTTTTTTCTTTTTTTTTTTTTTTTTCCCCTGTGTTTCTCTGTGCATGCACAGGCATGCAGGTCCAAAGGAAATCTCACAGTGTGTACTACAAAATGAGTCACTAGACATTTCTGTCTCTGTGTCTCTGACATTTTTCTGTCTGAGAAAGTTTTTGGTTTTTTTGTTTTTTTTTTTTTTTCCCCCTGTGTTTCTCTGTGCATGCACAGTCATGCAGGTCCAAAGGAAATCTCACAGTGTGTACTACAAAATGAGTCACTAGACATTTCTGTCTCTGTGTCTCTGACTTAGGCTTTTGGGAGTCACTTTGTATTAAGAAAATAGTATTGTGCTTGCTAAGCAATGTGGGTGTTTTGCTTGCGAAGATGTAACTGCTAAAATCTCCCCTAAGTCATAATATCTGATGAGCATGTGAATGGAAGGTAAAAGCTTCTATTGACATTGTGTTAATGCAAATCCAGGGAAATGTTTCTCAAGTTTTGAGTTCTCTGAAGTGTTAGTTGGGGTGTGTGAAGTTTGCTGTATCATGAGCAATATTCCAGCTCCCTTAAGCGCTGGGGAGGAGCAGTGGTGGAAGAGCATGGGTGGATGGTTTGTGTGCTCCCAGCTGATTATTGCACCAGCAGGATGTGTGGGACATGTGGACACTGCAGAGGGTGAAAATCTCCCCAGCTGGTGTAGGTGGATGCTCTGGAGCTCATCCTTTAGTGAACAACCCCCCACAAGCTCAATTTGTGGGCAGAACATGATCTGTACCTCCCTCCCTGCTTGCTTTCCTCCTAGATTCCATTCTTTTTCTATATGGATCTAAGGACAGCAATTGAGATTTTTAGTCACTGCTTGGGGTTTTTCTAAGCTACCGTTTAGGTCATGTAAAATACAAACATTAGTATTAATGCTATGATGGTCTTTTAGTAGCTGAAATTAGATTATCCAGGAGGAAAATCATATTTTGAATTACTGTGAATTCTTGTGGGTTTATGTATTTAGTGTTTTTCCCTAGATGACAACTCCTAATAACAACCATTATGCACATTTCGCAGACATTACACTGAATGATTTAGACTTCAAGAAATTTCTTTTTTAGAAGCCAGTCTTTAAAAACAGAGTTAGAGTGTTGGACCATTTTAGCATAAATGGTAAAGTGAGAATGAAAATTAATTCAGTTTGCAAAATGTGTTTCAGGATGTGTTTAAGCAAGTGAAAATCAACAAATCAAAGGTCAGTCTTAGAAGGTGCAGAAATGGGGAGTGATTGCCTTGGAGCACATCTTTTAATTAAATCCCTGTAGAGGAAATAATGGTGAATTTAAAGCCAGAGTCATTGCATCTAGGACAGGGCTGCACATCCATTATCAGAAGGATTGTGATGGTCTTATTGGAAATGACTACAGCAAAAGGTAAGGTAGCATATTTGGGAGTAGCAAGATGTAATAAATTCATAATATCTACTAATATAATAACCTGTTTCACTCCAAATTCTGTATTCCTCCATTTAATATGGCACCCCATTTCCAAAGACAATACTTCTGCATCATAAGTGTTGTAAAAGAAACGTCATTATAAAAGAAGTGTCATTAGAAAGGAAGGGGGGATCTCAGAGAATACCATTAATTTCAGTGTTTACAGATCTCCTATTTCCTAGTAGCATTTGTACCATGACCAGGTCTTCTCAAACCTCTTCCCCTCTGAGGAGATCACCAAGTTAATTGTGCTCAAATATTTCTGAAGTTATGCCACTTTTTACAGGCTGGAAACCTCCATCTTAGTCCTTGTTTGGATTAGTCAGTATTTAACTTGTGCTGTCTCCTTAGATGACCAGGTTAAACATTGTATTAATTTTTAAAGTACAACCTCGCTCCCTCAAAAAAAAAAAAACAAACAAAAAAAAAAAAAAACAAAAACAAAAACCCAAAAAAACCCACCCATGAAAACAATGTTTTTTGTTTGTTCATCTTTGAATTTCGAGCGTGAAACATTGACCTTGGGGAATGCAAAATACCCAGATGGTTTTTATAATTTCGGTCAAGATTTCTTTTTTTAAAGTCTCTTCAGACTGACAAGAACCTGTCACCACCTGTTTTTGGTGCTCTTTTTGTAATTGGGTCAGTAGCACAGGTAACCTAAAATCTATGAAGAGACTGAAAAAAAGAGAAGAGGATTAGCTGTTTCACAGGCTGAACAGAGAAAGATATTATGAAATCATTCCAGAGGCAGAGAGAAAATGTGATTTTCATGCTATTTTATGATTTATATTTTCTGAGCTGTGCTACAAAGGGCAGCAAAGAAAAGAAAGTGAAATATCCTCTGGTGCTACCTCAGTAACAGTGCAGGTTGTGGAGGGATTGTAGCTGAGGACTGCCAAGGTCTTGCAAGCAAGGCTGTGCTCAGGGGCTGCTGGTGTTCCCTGCAGTGCAGCTCTGACAGAGCTTCTGAGCTCCAGGGCTGTGCGTGGCTGTGACACCTCTGTCCCTCTGTCCTGGGCTTCCCTTGTCCTCCCTGGTGATGATTTCAGGAGTCAGCAGCACGATTGTGGTGAGCTGGAAGCCCTCAGAAATTCACCTGTATTTCAGCATTATCTGCTGGCCAGGTAGGTTGAGTACTGTGCATTGGAGTCCAGCACAAAAAGGGTTTTAGTAAAACTTGTGATTCCTTAGAAACACTTTGTGCATGTGTTGCACCAGTGAACTTATTCTGGGACTTGAAAAAACTTCAAGACTGAAAAACCACAAGATTTCAGACTCCTTTGACTCGGTCCCGTGTTTCTTCTTCTTGCACTTGTGAATTTTTGCACTCCTCCTCTTACTAACTCAAGTCAAGGAGGTATCTTTAATTTGCTGAATGTTGTAAGTTGTTGAATGCAGCTGTAAAATTTAGCAAGCAGAACTTTGCCATTTCTTCTAGCTATAGTGCAATATGATTGGAGAAATCTGTTTAAAACGTGCCACATTCAATTTTGTTAGGCTTTTAGAATAAGTGTTTATACTACAAATTCTGTGGGCTCCGTACATGTTTTGTTCAAAGAAACTTTTCCTTTATGAATTTATGTCAGTAGAGGATGTCTAAATCCATTCAGTCTTTTGGAACTTGTGACTAGTTTAATGAGAGTTAAATGCAAGCTGAATTAAGCATTAAGGCTATTTCTGCAGTGATGTGTCTATGATCAGAAGTTTGAAGGAAGTGAAACACATTTTTAGTGGAACTTTGGAAGTCTCATGTTCACAAATTTAACAGGATTGTCTATTTTTGCCTGTTTTGCATAGGATATTCCTCACATCTGGGCAAGGAGCTGATCCGCTGAGATAGATGACAAGAGGGAATTTTTACTGTTGAGTAAAATTTACTGAATTTTACTGAAGTCAGTTGAGACTGACTTCACCAGAAAAATTCAGATCTACAGGGATAAAACCCTCTCATACATTTTCAATAACTTTGATTTTCAGTCTTAGTATACTCAGGGTCACTGACAGACAGAATCAAGACAAAACTCTTACTCAGGTCATCTTTCCCATTATTTTCCAACTGTATTTTTTTTAGACTTAGCAGTTTTGAATTCTTTCCATCTTGCCTCGAGGGGAAAAATTTCCACACTCACATTGATCCTGCCTGTTCTATGGTGGCATCCTTCCAAGCTGGTCTGCATCTCTGCCCAGGTGTGGTGCTGGACACAGGGCTGTCCCTGAGGCTGTGTGGAGTGAGTGACTCTGTCTCACACATCCCTGCTTAGATGTCTCCTTATGATGCTCACTGAGCTGCAGAAATTTAATTCTGTCAAATCCCTTGTCCACAGCCTAACCAACATATTAAAAATCAAAATCATCCCTTAATGTGATTGCTCAACCCCTTTCATTGAAAAGGTATCAGATATTTTTTCCCCTTCTTTCTGGTCTTGGAGGAATAAACAATTTGAGCCATCCCAGCTCTCTGCTGTTGTGTAAGTGGAGGTCTCAGGTTTGTTGTGTTGCTAGGGAATGTGTTCAGCTTTTGTTGCTTTTGAATTATGGCTGCTAGCACTTATCTTCTCCTCCAGCAAAAAGCATTTATAGCAAGTTCTTTGAAAGCAGTGCAGTCATTTGTACTTAAGACAGAATTATGGCAGCAGCAAACAGTTACAGGGAACAATATAGCCTGATGCTGCCTCTGCACACAGGTAACTCTGCTTACATTGGTTATTCATTTTTATAAGAACAGTTTTCTTAACTTTCTGGAAGAGTGGAACAATCCTGATCTGGGATGAGAAACAGGCTTGAATTTTCCATATTCCTTCATGACAGCTAAAACACTCTTGGATCCTCTTTTCAAATGGAAAGGAATCTTTATTCAGAAAGTGGACATTTTGCCTGGCTTTTTTGTTTTGTGGAAATATTTTAAAATGGATTTATTTTTGCTCCCATGCTAAGCAGAAAACATTTGGAAAGTATTCTCCACATTTTGTTGTGGTTACATTGAGAGTTCTTACAAAATGGAATTGTTGTTGTCTGGTTAAATGTAATTTGCTGGAATTCAGAAATTATACCAGACAGTTGCACATCCCTGTTTCTGCATCATGCACATCTTGTTTCATATTCTAGCAACATGTGTTTTATTCTGTAATCAAGACAAGAATGGATTGAATGGGAAG